TGAGCCCGTCCGGAGAGCTGGAGACGTTCGGTCTAGTTGGAAAAGACTAGGGTCCCTAACTCTTTAGAGTCGTCTCCCCCCATTATTGCGGGGGAGGTGACCAAGGTTTGGTGTAACAAGCCCCCTCCGAACTGAAGGGCTCTACAAAGGTTAAGCGAGAGCAATTAATAGAGCTGAAACCGGCCTGTAGTTTATTGGGGTGCAAGTGCCTGTACTACTCCCAGAAAGTCGCCCCCTCCCCCAGGTCCTGAGGACAAAGGTCTAGCGATGTCCATCCCCTCCCCCAGTGAGGACAGCCAGGGAAGACCCGCGTCTATCGTGTGCAGGTGAGCGCCTTGTACCACACAAGACATCCTTTTTAAGAAACAGATCTGACTTTTCGTTATGTGCCATCCTTTTCCTTCTGTATTTAAAAAGAGTAAACATAAAAGTTTTGACAGTCTACTTAGGGACGTCTGGTAACTGGTTTGTCACTGTAGGCATGGGAAACACTTTCTCCTTAAGTCTGAGTTGGCTAGGAATGGGTTAATTTAATATACTAGGGGCTTTCTAAAAGATGCCTGACAAAGAGCAACTTCAAACTCAGATGTAATCAAACTGGCTTTTGATTTGATTTATAAAAAATAAACTTTAAAAGGGCTTTTTTGCCACCTCCTTTTGCATATAAATTGGAAAGCTTACCTTCACATGACTGAAGTCTTAAGCACCAATATTTAATGATGTTTATAAAGGATACATGGATAAGCTGCCTTCAAATGTGAAGATGAATGACATATTTTGAAAGCATCTCATCTCCTCTGACCGAACTGATGTAGCTTTTTGAGATTTCACCATTTCTTGCTGGGTTCTGATGATCCAGAACATGGGTTCTAGAGTCAGAAGGATAAAGTCTTAGGATCCATGTCTTCCAGATGTTTAAATTGGATGTACTGCTGCTTTTGAAGTATGTATATTTATTAGCCTAAGAATTTAGATATAAATCATTTTAAGTTTAAAAGTTTGATTAAAGCAAGGAAGTTAATTTGCATTACAAAGGTGTTTTCTGAGTAGATGGTAGCATCTTTTGGCACAGAGTAGTGCAAAAAATACTTCTGTTAACCAATTTTTAAAAAGAAAGAGAAGTGGCTTGTGGTGCTAAGCAAGGGCAGGGCAATGTTTTGAAAGCTGTGAAGATGAAATAGTATGAATTACTGTCAAGTGTTTTAAAGCTAGGGGGAATAATCATCCAGAGAGAAGGTGTGGAAGAAAGATGATTAATTGTGGAAGGGAAGCCCCAGAGGCAAGAGAATATTGCAATTACTTTTAGTTAAGGAAAAAAAAATCTGAAGACCAACAGGAACAAGAATACTGAATTTCATTTCTTGATCTTTTAAAATACGAAATATAATAACCATTTACACATATGAATAGTGACTTATTTCCTGAAGAAAGTTCTCAAAATTTATATAGCACAATTCCCAATTGTGTGATTGGGAGCTGACTTTTCCCAATAAAATAAATGAATAAATACCTTGAGAAACTACTATGGTTTCTGTTGGTTATAAAATAATGATTTAAACTTTTTTTTAAGTTGTTGAAGGACCTTTATTTTTTATTTATTCATTTATATGTGGTGCTGAAAATCAAACCCAGTGTCTCACGCACGCTAGGGAAGCACTCTACCACTGAGTTACAACCCTAACCCCTGTGATTTAAATGTTGATGAAAATATGTTGTCTACCTAGTGCATGTAATCTCCAGGTTTTTGTGCACAACACTTTTATGTTAAGACGTTATTCACCCCAAGTGTTTCTCTTCCATTTTCAACTTCCACTTTTTTAGTGGTAATATTGCAATTATTCTTATTTACATTTTTGACATTTAGAATTGGCTTTTGTTAGTGTAACTACGCACATAACTAGTTAACTGTGGTGTAATCTTAAATGTAACATGGAACAATTATATCATTAAAAACAAATTTGGAACATGTATCAAAAATCCCAGAGGCACTAAATGTAATTCACTTTAATCTTCAGCTATTTTAAACAGTTTAAATTCACCAGCTCCTGGCCTTTCCATTAAACCATACAACCATTAAGTTCAACAAAGAGGGGCATGAGCCTTTGATTCCAAATAGTTGTTTTAAGAAAAAAAGAAATCCTCCATCTCTAGAAAATAACTTATTTGGGCTAGGAGAATATTTTACATGTAGATCTAAAAAAGGAAACAAATACAAAAAGTCTTCATTTCACACATGTAATTTTTTTTTAAGTGTCTCAGGGTATCTTTTTAATGCTTCAGGGCAGGAAGCCTCTGAAGGGTCAGATGATATACCCACTGGATTAATAAAATATGTATGATAAGAAAAAAATAGGCCTTGACTGATTGTTAAATTATTTTTAATAGAATGTTCCTTCCTTAGACATTTGGCTAAAAGAATCTGAAACCACAGTTGGGAGGAATGTTGGAGGTTGGAATCATTGTGATATTTTTATGCTGTAATGCAAATGATTTCAGAATATAGTTTGCTTAGAAAAGGGAGAAAGTTTAGCTAAAATAACAACAGGTCTTAAATAGAATACCACACTCTCTAAATTTAAGTCCATTCATTTATTCCTGAAACACATTTTTTTGACCACCTACTGCGTGTTCAACACTAAACAAATTTCTTTGGAAAATAATGACAAAATCTGAACCTGGAAAGGATGAGTGAGCATATAAAAAGACAGAATATTTTTCTTTGTCTTGAGTAGTGTGCAATCAAGAGGAAAGCCAGAAATAACCAGAAAACATGCAGAAGAAATTAGATATGGCATTGAACAGTGTTAAGCCACCATTATTCAAAGAAGGGTTCTTTAAGGACAGGAAGCTTCTTTGCTAAGTACTAAGTAGGAATGGATGTAAACTGGTGAACAGTGTAGAATGACATCATTGGGTTGGTGATGGGGCAGTTCAGGCAAAAGGACAATACTCAGGGAAAAATAACGAAATCATCCTAGCTGGTCTGCATGGGCAGATGTTAAAAAAGAAAAGGTTGAACCCATAGTCCCAGCTACTCAGGAGGCTAAGGTAGGAGGATCACTTGAACTCATGAGTTCAAGACCAGCTTGGGCAAAAGAAAAAGAAAGAAAGATTGGATTGGGTATGAGGTGTGACAAAGGTATAGGGAGAAAAGGAGACACCCGCTACTTAGTGCAAGTGGTGGAGGTACCCACAACTTTTATTGAAAGTATTTGTGGACCGAGATTAATAAAGGAAATGTATTGACAGGCATAACCATAAGGTCCAGGAATACATCTAACTTTAGGCATCAGGATGCTCTCTTGCAATCTGTCAGCCATCCTGTTCCCATATGTATGGTTAGAAAGACATACTACTCTGTTGAGGTCTGATCATATGCCCACTTCTAGAAATAGAGACATGGGCAGGAGGTGATTCTCCGAAGAGACTTTGGACACATGTACAAAATAGGTCCAATATGCACACCAGATTTTACTTATCAACTTACTATATGAAACAAATATTATATCCCCATTATGTATAGGGTAAACTGGAGCCAAAAGATCAAATAAACCAAAAAGAATTTACTAAAGGTAACAAGGCATTATGAAAAGGTATTAACCAGAATGGTAAGAGAGGTGGTAGGAAAAGGAAGAGAACAAATCAGAAGACAAATCAACAACTTGATGACTGACTGAACAAAGGGAAGATCAAGGATGAATCTAAGTTCTAACTTCACAGGATTTTTATACTGCTGGTAGAATCTCTGCAAATCAAGAGGTGGCAAAGGGTTGGTAACTCAGAGCTCCTGCTGGGGCTGGGGCTTAAGGATTAAGGAAATGATCAGATCAACTGAAGTTCTCTGGAGCCTCTTCTGAACACTCTAAAATACATACCCATTCAATAATAATAAGTATTTGAGCTAATGGTTGGGCTCTATTTTATGTCTATAAGAGCCAAAAGGTGAAAAGGGTATGCTTTCATATGTGAGAAGACACAATCACAAGAATAAAGCAAATGGAATGTGCCTCGAGAGAAATGCAAACGAAGTCAGTTTGGTGGAGAGAGCAAGGTCATCTGGAGAAGAGGGAAGTTTCAGTCTTCCCTCTAAGCCATTTGAGCTTAGGTAGAACTTCAGCTTAAAAGATAGTTACAGGTTGAGGTTCTGGCTGAGCCACACCATGAGCAAAGAGAAATGTGTGTCCAAGAACAAAATGTCAACAAATCGCGTTTCAAAGATCTAATTGACTTTTGTTAGCAATTTAGAAATAGGCAGCATCTATTCTACAAAATAAAAAGAAGCTCCAATGAACTAGACAGAGTGGGTGAGTTTTATAGGCAGGGGAAAAAAAAAAAGCTGAGGTAAAGCTAGAACAATGAGTGGAACAATGATGAGTACTTTCCTTATTGGAATGTCAACAAAATCTGGTTGGCTTAATGAGATTTGGCTGTCATCTCCTGATTGCTCCAAAGTTCACATCTTTCAAGTAAACAACTTAGATTTTGGTTTGGTGATGTGGAAAACGGCTTATGTGATTCCATTTGGGGTCTGCTGTCTTTTCTTTGACAGACAGAACACCATAAAATTGGGCAAAGAGTGGGATGGTTGAAAAAAGGGAGATGTGAGGGAGAAGGTTGGAAAAGATGGGATCAAATGAGAGCATGGAGAGCATTGGGGAGGGAAATAGACCTAAGGGGGTGAAAGTCTTGGTGATTATTGAAATAGGAAAAATAATCCAATAAGTCCATGCTTTAAGATATAGGCAGGCAAGAATGTACAGTGTGATGTAAATCATCCATCTAGCGTAGCTTGAATGGTCCTCCTTGGACTTGACTCTAGCTAGAACTTCTGACCATGACCTCAGTGGAATGCTAACTACAAGCTTGAAAGCAAATAGGATGTGGCAAGTATAAATCATTCAACCTGATTTAATGTCTTATTTCAACCTTTAATTAACATTTCTGTTAAGTCCTTAGATTTTTACTGTGAATGAAGCCAGGATACCAAAAAAATAGAACTTATTTCCATTTTAATAAAAGATTCAGCCCTATAAGAAGCTATCTTCTTGGTATAATTTTACCAAGAGAGAGAAAATACACAAAAATAATAGCACCTACTAAGCCTGCTTTTTAACAAGGTCCCTCTTACATGATTTATTTGCATATTAAAATTGAGAAACCACATTAGAGGATATTCGAGATTCCCAGGATTAAAGTGTTTTAAGATCCTTAAGATAACATTAAAGGATTAATATTAGCCATCGATTAGTCAAGAATAGGTAACAAAATGTGTGATTCTATTTTTATGAAATTCTTGAAAATGCAAATTAATCTGTAATGACAAGCA